AGAAAGGAAAGCTGTAAGAATCTTGAAAAGAATGAGTTATTTTGCTGAGGGAAGGAGAACTTATTCCTAGAGAATCACATGTTCAGTGACCCAATATTTCTGGGAGAGTGCATTGTAGCTATCCATTCACAGTAACAAAAAGGACCACTAACATTTGTTCTACATATTGTGATAACGAGTGACACGCAAAAATCTTTAAGCAGAATCGTCCTATTATAATTCTTCATGCTGTTTACCCTCACACATTCTATGGGCAGGGAAACCAAAATCACCAAACTCACTGCCATCGAGTTGGCACCGACTCACAGCGACCCTATAGGACAGGTTGGAACTGCACCTGCGAGTTTCTGAGACTGGATGTTGTTATGGGAGTAGAAATCTCATCTTTCTCCCTTGGAGCAGCTGGTGATTTCGAAATGCTGACCTTGAAGTTAGCTGCCCAACATGTAACCACTATGAGTTTTATGATCCACCCTGAGACATAAGAGACTTCAAAATTTGATTTCCTTGGTGTTTTCAGACTGGACTAGTCACTGAACTGAATTATCTAGGAAACAGCCTCGTAAGCCTAGAGCTCTTTTGTTTGTTTGTTTGTATCTGATGATTGATTTTCTCCTAGGTATTTATCGTTATTGTTGTGCCAAATGTCCGTTGCTGTTTTTTAATTTGTACATATCTCTACTTTCTTTCAGTGGAATGGGAGCTTCATAGAAGCAGGGACTGAGCTTTGTTCCCCGCTACACCCCCAGAACACAGTGTTGTTATTAGCTCTCAGGCAATTGTCCTAGATCCTCCAGGGCAAGGCTACATGGAGCAGAAGGACATATTGCCCTGTTCTGCTCCATCTTCATGCTTGTGGGTGTGCTGGAGCGCATCCTTGTGGCTAGTGTGTCCGGCCTTCCAACCTAGGGGGCTCCTCCTCCAGTCTCATATCAGAGGTTGTCCTGTTTTAACTCAGGAATTGATGGTTTGGGGAGGTAGATTGCCAGGCCTTTCTTCTTCATCTGTGTTAGTCCGAAAGAAGTGCTCTCCTGAAACATATCTACCAGGGGTAGCCTTGTTTGTATTTGAAGTATGAAGACATAACTTCCAGTATCACAGCAACCTGCAAATCACTACCCTGTGACAAACTGACTGGTGGGTGGGGACCCTTCATAAATATTTGCTGAATAAAGGAAGGAAGGAAAGAGGGCCTGGTGGGGTATTAGGTCAAATTATCAGCAAAAACTGGAGGTGACATTTTTTTGTTATCATCTTTTCCTTCTTTCTTTTTTTTTAAACACACATGTCTATATATCTGATTTCTTGCTTCCAGATAGCTCAGTTTAACTGGGATCCAGAGACGGTGGGCCTGATCCATGGATCTTTTTTCTGGGGTTATATTATGACACAGATTCCAGGCGGTTTCATTTCAAACAAGTTTGCTGCTAACAGGTAAGATAATGGATACAATAACTGCCCAGCTCAACATATGGCTTGTACTTTTACAAAATCTGTACAGTCAGCCCCCAAGTGCAGAATGAAGGACAGAAGCCATCTAAGTAGATGCGATTCACAGCTCTTTTGATCCCAAATGGTCCTATTGCTGAAAGTTTCTATTTACTTTTGGGTTCAATCTAATTCACTTTGCTACTCTGTAAGACCAAGAGGCAGTCGTTTGAACAGGGGATACTGTGTGGTTTAAAATTAGGAAAGGTATGTATTGGATTGTATCCTTACACCACCCTGACTCAATCTGTATGCTTAACAAATACTCCGAGAAGCTGGACTATCTGAAGAATTCGGCATCCGAATGGGAGGAAGACTCATTATCAAGCCGCGAAATGCAGATGGGCAGCCTTGTTTGCTGAGAGTAAAGAGGACTTAGTGATGGAGATCAAGGACCGCAGTCATCGATATGAAGTTTTCTCCTAAAAAAATAAGATCCTCACAATTAAATCAATGAGAAATACCAGGATAAGTGGAGGAAAGATAGACGTTGTCAGGGATTTCATTTTAATTGGATCCATAATAAACACCCCCCTCCCCCACCAGGGAGCAATCAAGACATTTAAAATGCACTGCCTTGGATAGATCTGCTGCAAAGACCTCTTTAAAATGCGCCAAGGTGAAACTGTCACTTTGAGTTCTAAGGTGTGCCCGATTCAAGCCGGGGTATTTTCAGGCACCCCAGATGTATTCAAAAGCTGGACAAAGAATAAGAAGACTGAAGAATAACTGATGCGCTTGAAGTCTGGTGCTGGGGAAGAATACTGAACAGACTACGGACTCAGAAGAATGAGCAAATCTATCTCAAAAGAGGCAAACCTGCCTGTTTGTTAGAAGCAAGGATGGTGAGACTTCATCTCCCTGACTTCGAATCTGTTCTCAAGGGGGACCTGTCCACCAAGAACACGATGCTTGGTCCAATAGAGGGTCTGTGAAGAAGACGAAGACCCTCAAGGAGATGCATTGACACAGGGGCTGCCCGAGTGGGCCCACCTACATCAGGGCTCATCAAGACGGTGCAGGAGGGGCAGTGTTTCACTCTGTGGTCACAGCGTGGCTAGGAATCAGAGCCTGCTTGATGGCACTTGACAGCAGCAAGCCAGGGTACAAAAGGAGACGAGAACAGGCACTGGGGGGAGATGTGGTAGAGCGTATTGTACCCGACAGAAGTATACGAAACATCTCCGTGCCCCTTCCAGTTGTATCTCTCCTATGACTTTCCATTTATAGATTTTGAAAGTTTATTAACACTTATAAGGCAGCATTTTCTAATCTCTAAAGTACAGTTAGTGGCTATGAAATCAGTTTAGTGATTTACCAATGAGCATTTAATATGAGAAAGAGATAGAAGAAAATGTAACCAAATAGAGTAAAATAAAAATATATATGAATATGTTACACATTTGAAGGTAAGTATTGACTTACAAAACTTGTTTCAAGTACATCTGTGTGTATGACATTGTACTGAGTGAGCATATAGCATATGTTTAGTTTTATGGATCCAGGTAAAAAAATTTGAAAGTCCTTACTGTAAGGAGTTTGCACATGTGTTAGGCTTTATTTAGTTATGTTTCTGTCGAATTTATGTCCCTTATTCTTAGTTATTGTGTTATTTCTAAAAAAAAATCATTTTTGGTAAATATATATAAAAATAAAAACTAACTCCCTTGCTATCACGTAGTGACCCTATAGGACAGAGAAGAATTGTCCCATTGGCTTTCCAAGACTGGCATCTTTACAAAAGCAGGCTGCCACATGTTTCTCTTGAGAAGAGGCTTGTGGGTCCAAAGGTTCCACCCTTTAGTCCGCAGTGGAACACTTAACCACTAGTTCATTAGAGATCCAAAAGAAAAAAAAGGTAAAAGAGCACAACATTTGCTCTCTTAACCCTTGTTAAGTGTTAATTTTAGTGACATTAGTTGCACTCAGAATGTTGTACAGCTATTATTACTATTTTCAAGCATTTCCCCACCATCCCAAACAGAAACTCATTACCCATTAATCAAGAGTGCTCCTCTTGCCCCTAGCTTCTAGTAACCACTAATCCACTTCTGACCCTATGCACCCGCCTTTGCTCTATTATCTTAGCTTCGTGTGATCATACAATATTGCCTTTGGGAGTTTGATTTACTTTACTTAGCACATTGTTTTCAAGGTTCACTTAAGTGGTAATAGGCACCGGGACTTCACGTCTTTGATGGTTGATTAATATCTCCTTGCATAGATACACACCATGATTTGTTTACCTATTAAACTTTTGAAGGATACTTAAGTTGTTTCCATCTTCTGACTATTGTGAATCATGCTTCCATGAACATCAGTTACATTTGCGTGTGTTCTTTTTCAAAGTGCGTAAGTATTTGTAGCTGTGAAGTCTCCTGAGTTACGTGTACCCTAAGACAAAATTACACATCGTATCCCCAGAATATAGAAAGGACTGAGCTGGCACTAATGTGTGGTAAGCAGAATGTGTTGCCTGACTCTTTTTGCCAGGACACCCTGGACCAGGCTGGATGGGTTAAGAAATGAGAAGGTGCTTGGGGAAATGGTGGTGGTGCCTAGGGAACTAAGACAAAACCTAGCTTGTTTTATCCCTGGCTGGCCTCAGGACACACTGTAGTTCTTGATGGAATTCCATCTGGTGAAGTTAGAACAAGGCGAGGACCCAGGACACACAACCCCAAACGTACAAACCCACAAAAGCTCACTGCAATGGAGTCTGCTCTGACTCATAGCAACCCTATAGAACAGAGTAGAACTGACCCTTTGGGGTTCTGAGGCTAGAAATCTTTACAGAAGTAGACAGCCTCATCTTTCACCCTCAGAATGGCTCCCTGCGTTCAAACTACTGACCTTGTGCTGAGCAGCCAAATAGGGAACCAGGGCTCCCCAAGTCATAGAAGTCACAGATCAAAAATCAGAATGTGTCCGTTGGGTAAGACCAGGCAGAACATGGGACGCCCAGCAAGCTCACTTCACTCCGGCTATTCTCCAACTTCTAAGGACATCATCCAGGTAGGAGATCCCTATGCTACCAAAACTGCACCCATGATTGGGTCAGTGTTCCAAGATCAAAGCAGGCCTGAAGTTTAGCTTGGGGCGCATCCGACCCTAACACATCATTTATTTCTCTGAATTCATTACATGAGACCCTCTACCATTGTGTTGTTCTCTTCTGATGTTTAACTGAAGTGCGACTGCTATCCTCGGGCCAGCCCAGTAACACCATGTTTTGGCCCCCAGGGTCTTTGGAGCGGCCATTTTCCTAACATCGGCTCTGAACATGTTCATTCCGTCTGCAGCCGGAGTGCATTACGGCTGCGTCATGTGTGTGCGAATTTTACAAGGGCTGGTGGAGGTAGGTACTTTCCTGATACGTTGCAGTATGGCTGGAGTCAGTGTGATGAAAACTTTCTGAAGAAAATCTCTTTTAGGCAATCTTCTTGACTTCCACATTGGCTCTCTTAGCTCTCTGCTTATTGCTGCAATTTTAGATATATTGAGAAAAATGCCTTGTATGATTCTAAATGTATATGCAACATAGAACCCTTTCATAGATGCATAGATTGTCTAAGGCAGGGGCGGATCTTAGAGATCATGAAATCCAGCCCTCTTTATTTTGATAGATGGTGAAACATGAATTCAAAACCTATGTTGCGTGGACACTTTCTGTTGAAAACCTTCTGAATGGACTATGATATCTATAAATTTCCAAGGATGTAGTTCAAATCAAGGCGGCCACACAGGCTTAGCTGCAACTACTCACTTCTAGAGTCAGAAAAGAGCCATCGACAATATTCTAGTAAAGAAGCACAACTATTCATAAGTTTCAATAAAACTTTATTTATAGATACTGAAACTTGAACTTCAAATGATTTTTGCATAGCATGACATATTAGTTTCTTTTGATTTTTCCTCCACCAGTAAAATGAAGAAAAAAAAGTTTAGCTCATGAACAATGCAAAAATAAAGACAGTGGGCCAGATTTGGATTGTTAGCTACTATTTGCTACCTCCTGATGTAATTTTCTCAAACTTTAGTCACTCATCTCTTCACCTCAACGGCATTCGTCAGCTCTGTGTGACGAGTACTATTAACTTATACTATTACTTACCTGTAGCCTTTCCTTAGATCAAGTCATGTTAAAAAAAAGTTCTCAGCCCAAGTAACTATCTTTGAAATCATGGGTTTTAAAAAGCAAATTAGAACTATGTGCAACAATCATCTTTAAGAATGTAGGGGTTGTACCACTTTAAACCCAACTGGAGTCCTACAACTTTCGTGGGAAATACTGATGTGGTAGAAAAACACAATATTGTCCACCATCAAGGGTCTAGTCCAGGGATTGGCAAACTTTTGAGACAGAAGAGCCCAATCCTATCCCGCACAACAATTTAAAAATTCTTTGAGAATCATAAATATATTTTAACAAACAGATAAAACCATCACTATCTGAATAATATCCTTAAATTTTTTATAGATGTTTAAACACCAAAGGTGGGGAGGGGGAATCATATCCTCGTCAATGAGGGTGGCGTGTGATGGAGACCCAATGCCCATCTCTAGACAACTGGACATACCTTGCAGAGGGGTAGTGGGGAGACGAGTCACTTAGGGTTCAGTATAGCAATAATGAAGCCCACAACCTTCCTCTGGTTCTTGAACGCTTCCTCCCCGCAACTACCAGGACCCCAATTTTGCCTTGCAGACCTGGTTGGACTAGATGATGTACAGCGGTACAGACGGGAATTGGGAACGCAGGGAATCTAGGACAGAGGAACCTTTCAGGACCAGGGGTGACAGTGGCAATACCAGGAGGGAAAGGGGATGTAGTAGGGGGAATGGATCACAGGGAGCTACGTGTGGCCTCCTCTCTGGGGGACCGGCAGCGGAGGGGTGGGTGAAGGGAGACGCCGGACAGTGTAATATAAGATACAATAATAATTTATAAATTATTAGGGGTGCATGGGGGAGAGGGGAGGAGGAAGGGAAGGGGAGGGGGGAAAAAAGGAAAATTAGAGGCTAGCGAATTTTGGGAATGATGAGGGCAACAAATGTATAGATGTGCTTTACACAATTGATCTATGTATTGTGATGAATTGTATGAGCCCCAATAAATTGATTAAAAAAAAAAGAAGAAGAAAAAACATCCCAGCCCAGAAAAAAAAAATTTTTTTTATAGATCAAACTATGATAGTTTTATTTTCATTTTCCATTTTACTTCCGAGCCACATGTATGTCCCAAAAGAGTTGCATGTGGCTCGAGAGCCGCAGTTTGCTGAGCGTGAGTCTAGTCACTTAGTGGCTCTGAGGCTCAGGGTCTGTCTGTTGAGAGGATGGACCAGCTGATAAGGCAAGTCCCTTGTTACACTGAGCTTCTATAATAATAAAAACATAGTCCCTTCCTACATTGACATTCTGTAACAATATAAATATAAATACTCCCCTCCTGACAATCCACTCTGCTTACCTAGGAGCTATATTCAAATTTCATTGGTGAGTCAAAATAGCTGAATCATGCTATTCATTTTTGTAAGCTGGACTTTTATAATGCGATCTATCTGAGAAAAAAACAAACCCCAAAACAAAAAAGGTGCCACAGTCTAAACACAAACAAAAACCGGAGCCAGGTCAAATAACCTATTTTCCACCACTTTGGTAGGGTGTGACTTATCCCGCCTGCCATGGGATGTGGAGTAAGTGGGCACCGCCTCTGGAAAGAAGCAGACTGGCCACAACCTCTTTTTGCGGTGAGTATATTCCGATCATGGCACCTTTCATTTAGGAATAGTCTGGGCTTCAGGTAATGGAAAACTCTGTAAAGAGCCTTACGTTGAATCTACCTTTCCCACCTAACAGAAGTCCAAAGGTGAGTGTCTGTTGACATTGGTTCTGTTGCTTAATTATCTGACAAGGATGTAGGCATGCTCTCATGCTCTACTCTGCCGTCCTCCGAATGACAGCTCTGGGTTCTCATACTTGTTCCTAATGTTCACACGATGGCCGCCACAGTTCCGCGCATCACGTCCATGTCGAGGCAGGAAGAACTGGGCAGCGGAGCCCTCATCACATCTGCTTCCTTCCCAGACTTCCTTTACATTTCCATGCTCCTGATTGTGTCGTGTGTGGCAGTATTGACAAGTCAGGCTGGAAAGTTAAGAGCCTCCTATTTTTACCGTGTCTAATCAGAAGGGCAAGGTAGAAGGGGGGCTAGAAGTGGATATGGGATTAGTCAATATATGCTCTGTTGAGGTCAAACGCAGAACAGGTGTGATCATCAAATTCTTGTTGAAAAAAGAAATTGAAGTGAAAGGCACAGTACTGTATACAGTTAACCATGTTCAAATGCTCCATTCAGTGGCACTTAGTGAATTCACTGGCCTTTGCAACCACCATCTCTCTCTCTAGTCTGAACACTTTTACATCACCCCAGAACATTTGGCACCCATTGAACCATCCCTCCTGATATCTTCCTTCCTTCAACTTATAAATTCAAAAACTCACTGCCATTGAATCAATTCTGACTCATAGAAACCCTATAGGCCAGGGTAGACCTGCCCCCGTGAGTTTCCTAGACGGTAACTCTTTATGCGAGTAAAAAGCCTCTTCTTTCTCCCACAAAGAAACTGGTGGTTTTGAACCACTGATCTTGTGGTTAGCAGCCCAACAGATAACCACTATACCACCAGGGCTCCTTTTCCACCCCATAGCAACCACTAATCTATGCTTCCATGCATTTTCCCATTCTGGATAGTTCATTGTGGCAGTTAGGTATTATGTCAACGAGCACCTGTGTAAAAGTGTAGGGGTAGAGTCCAAACTATCAATCACTTCTCAGCATAATGATGCCTTCTTGGAGGTGTGGCCTTTTTATAAGAGAGGCAGTGAGACTCTCTCTCTGGCCCTTACCTTCCCCCTTGCTGGGACTCTGTCTGCCTCCAGGGGTGGCCCCATATGGGTTGGGGTTAGGTTAGGTTAGGTTAGGGTCACTCAGAGAGCTGTTGGAGCCCTGCCAAGTTTCCACTGACTTTGGCCCCACTTGACTCTGCACCCAAGGACCTGTGATCTCCCTGCTCCCCGCTTCACCTTTCTGCTTCATCAGCTTGCCGCTGGTGAGTCTGAAGAGGGCTCCAGCTGCCGTCAGACCCATGGACTTGAGTTGCACTGGGCCGGGATGCCTTCTTGATGTAACATTACTTCTTGATATAAAGTTCTTTCTTACACACAGATGAGTGTCGCTGGTCATGTGTCCAGACCACCCAGACTAACCCCTTCATATAAGAGGGATCAGATATTATGTGAGTTTTTTGGAGATAGACTTCTTTCATCTAGCATGAATTCAAGTTCCATCCAAGTTGTAGCCTCTCCATCAATACATCATTCCTTCTTATGGCTGAATAGTATTGTATTTTATGGATAGACCACATTTTGTCTGTTTCTCTGTTCATCAGTTGATGGGTGTTTGGGTTTATTGCACATTTTAGGTTTTAAGTAGATGTGTGTTTTAATTTCTCTTAGGTAATACTTAAGGGTAGAATGGCTGAGTCATGGAAATTACATCATTAACTTTTTGAGGAGCATCTGAATTATTTATATATCATATTTTTATGCAACTACTGTGTGTGTGTCATACTTTTTTTTTTAACCAGCTGCACCTCCCAGGGAACTATTTTTCTAAATGTGCTATATAAATTTTTTAACATGTTGCTCTTTCACTTACAAAAATATGGGTATGTGTGTGCAAAAAAAAGAAGCATGTACATACGGTATTTGCATCAACTATGGTACATACACATAGATGAGGGGCTTCAAAACGCTTCAATAAAATGGATTTGAAAGATAAAGGAATTTTTCCAAAAACTCTTTTGAAGCCCCATTCATATATACTTTTGTAATAGGCTTTATTATTTAGAGAAGTTTCAGGTTTACACATACTCTTTTTTCTCCAAAACTAATACTAAAATTCAATGAATTGTAATGGGAGGCTTCAAAAAGTTTGTGGAAATCTTCCATTAGCTTTTTTCTAGATATCATTTTATTGGGGACTCTTAAGGCTTTTATAACAATCCATACATCAATCGTATCAATCACCTTTGTGCCTATGTTGCCATCATCATTTTCAAAGCATTTTATTTCCACTTGAGCCTTTGGTATCTATTAGCTTTTACACCCATTTTTCCCCCCACAAACTTTTTGAAGCCCCCGTGTACAGGGTCAAACAAGTATTAAATTGTGGAACTTAAACTGGTAAACGGTGTCTTGGTTCCTATTTTTCTTATTATACACAACTGCCTGCACACATTGTTATAATGATATTTTAATTAATCTGTGCTGACTGGTGTGGCCACACAAAAATTTAAATATATAATTGCCACAAACCTAACACTACGGTCAAATTGATTCGGATTCCTGGCACCCCGTGTGTTATAGAATAGGACTGCTCCAGAGGGTTTCCTGGGCTGCGATTTCGATGAATGTGGTGACGAGACTTTGTTCTCAAAGAGCGACTGGCTGAGTTTACATCACGTTTAGGTTAGAGCATCCAGGGACCCGTAATAACCAAATGGCTGAGCACTTACACTCTTGCATATATTCCCCGATTGATTAAAATCAGGTCCTCAAACAGCTACTTGTACAGCAATGTTCATCGCAGTACAATTCACAATAGGCAAAACACAGCCATCGAGTTGAGAAATCCAAGTTATCCATCAGCAATTGAATGGATAAGCAACATGTTGTGAAGCTACACGAGGGAGCGTTATTCAGCGTTAAAAGCAAATGAAGTACTGTTACATGGACCAACCTTGAGAACATTTATGCTAAGTGAAAGAAATCAGATCTCAATGGCCACATAGAGAATGATTCCTTTAATAGGAATACCCAGAACTGGAAATCCTTAAAGACAGAAATCAGATTAGTGGTGGTGAGGAGCTGGGGCGGGTGACGAGCAGGGTTTCCTATGATGGTGGTGAGAATGTTTTGTTAGATTAGAGAGGTTGTAAGTGCACAAACACAGCCTTGGTGGTGTAGTGGTTACCTGTTGGGCTGGTAATTGAGAAGCCAGCAGTTCGAAACCTTCAGCCTCTCTGAGGGAGAAAAATGAGGCTTTTTACTCCTGTACAGAGTTACAGTTTCAGAAACTCACAGAGGGGTGGCCAGGAGTCAGAATCCACTAGATGGCAGTGAGTTGGGTTGGTTTGGTATCGGGTGAGCACTGGACAGCTAATCGCAGATCCGGCAGTTCAAACCCACTATACAATCCTCAGGAGAAAGTTGAGGCTATCTACTCTCATAATGATTTCCAGCTCCCGAAACTCAACCGAGGCTCCCCAGGAGGAAGGTGGACTCAGTGGCATTGAGTGCACATACTAAATGCAGCTGCATTGTTTCCTTTAAAAGGATTAACTTGTGTTCAGTAAACTACTTCAAGAAGATGGGGGAAAAGGTAGCGTTTGCTCCCAGGTCAGCCTGGGAACAGCTGGGGGTGGGCAACTTGAAATTCAGACTGGGTCCCTGTGAGAGGTATACTTGAGGGACAGGGGGAGTGACGGGAAGAATTGGATGGCTGGGAAGAAAGGCAGCTCGGGTGAAGTTTTACAGTATTCTCAATGGAAGAACAGCTTTTCCTACAAGGAAGTATTGGGGCATTTTTGAATGGAGGTAGCCCCAAGTTATTAATTAATTAACTAACTTCAAGGGCTTTGAAGTCCCATAAGCATGGATTCCTGTACAGGAATCCTGTTACACCTGTTGACCTTGAGTCATTTAATTCCTCAACCCCCACCTTGTTTTACACCCCATAAAATGGATCTTTAGCTCATCAAATTAAAAAGAGGCTTACTGATGTGAGTGAGGGGGTTGGAGTGGAGACCCAAAGCCCATCTGTAGACAATCTGTAGAAAGATTACAAGGAAGGGACAATTCAACCAGGGTGCAGTATAGCACTGGCAAAACACTCACCATTCCTCTAGGTCCTGAATGCTTCCTCCCCTCCAGTTCTACCTTAAAAATCCAGCTAGACCAGAGTACACACGTTGGTACAGATAAGAGCTCTTGACACATGGAATTCAGGACAGATTAACCGCTCAGGAACAGTAGTGGGAGTGGTAATATCATGAGGCTAGGGAAATGGTGGAGTTGGGGGAGAAAAGGGGAACCCATCACAAGATGGGATATATAGCCCATCTCTAGGGGGACAAATAACAGAAATGTGAGTGAAGGAAGACAACGGACAGTGTAAGACATGAAATAACAATAATTTATAATTGATCAAGGATTCACAAGGATGGGAGGGAGGGGAACAAAGAGGAGCTGATATTAAAGGCTCCAGTAGAAAGAAAATGTTTTGGTGATGTTGTGGCAACATATATACAAGTGTGCTTGATACAATTGAATGATGGATTATAAGATTTGTAAGAGCCCCCCAATAAAGTGATTTTAAAAAAGAAAAGAAATGTAGTGCATGCGAATTACATGTCAATAAAACTTTTTTTTTTTAAGAGGCTTAAATGAATTCAAGGGGCTAGCTACTGAGTACTGCGCGGTACACAGAAAGCACTTAGGGCTTCGGAGTCGCTGGTTATTTTGTAACCCCATCTGTGCCAGCCATTTCTTTGCATCACTTAGACCAGACTTCTCCCCGCCCACTCTCAGGTGTTTGTCACCTTCTCCACATCCTCATCAGAGTCAGACTAAGGGTTGCTTGCAAATGAGACGCTATATGCACTTAATTGTTTACCTTAATTGTTGGAGGAACTCTGAGGTATTAAAAAAAAAGTTAATCAGCATCCTGTACATGATTCCAACAGTCCCCGTAGGCATTTGTGTAGCACAGAGCACCATTATGTGCATAGTTTTATTTGCGCCACAAACCAATTCTGTGGGGTAGATCCTTTGTCCCCCATCTCCTGCCTCAAGTCAACGAGGTTAGAGAGATGGAGAGACATCTTCAGGTATCGTGATTTGTGGTTCCAGGGTGGGCTTTTCCCAGAGGGTCAGGCCCAGCTTGAAAGACGTGATTTAATTTACTTCTCCAGAATATCTTCAAGCTCCCATTTCCTGAAGATCTTCCTACACATTGGATTCTGGGAAAAGGAATTTCCTTTCGCCGTTCAACTTTTCCCGAAGCAAGACATGTTTTCATTCACAGCCAGGGGGAATTTCAGATCCTAGTACTTCTATTCACTTGGTATCTGTTGGGTTCATGTTGCCCTCCCTGATATCAGGAGGCAGCAGGAGATAGGAAGGCCAGCTCACTGCCTCCAGACCTCATTACCTTGTCTAGACATGATAAACGTTTCCACACAGGGAAGTAGTTACCAGGTGAAGTAGTGAAATAAATGTTAACATGGATTCACCATTCAGGAAGTAGGTGGAGATGGTTCCTATCAGACTCGAATTTTATAAAATGTTTTTTAAAATCATTTTTTGGGGGGCTCTTACAATTCTTATCACAATCCATACATACATCCGTGTGTCAAGCACATTTGTACATTTGTTGCCATCATCATCCTCAAAACATTTGCTTTCTACTTGAGCCCTTGGTATCAACTCCTCATTTTCCCCCTCCCTCCCGCTCCTCCCTCCTTCATGAACACTTGATAATTTATAAATTATTATTATTTTGTCATATCTTGCCCTGTCCGACATCTCTCTTCACCCATTTTTCTGTTGTCCATCCCCCAGGGAGGAGGTTATATGTAGATCCTTGTAATCGGTTCTCCCTTTCACTCCTACCTTCCCTCTACCCTCCCAGTATCGCCACTCTCACCACTGGTCCTGAAGGGATCATCCGCCCTGGATTCCCTGTGTTTCCAGTTCCTATCTGTAGCAATGCATATCTTCTGGTCTAGCCAGATTTGCAAGGTAGAATTGGGATCATGATAGTGGGGGGAGGAAGCAGTTAAGAACTAGAGGAAAGTTGTATTTTCCATTGTTGCTACCCTGCATCCTGACTGGCTCGTCTCCTCCCCGCGACCCTTCAGTAAGGGAGTGATCAGATTAGAATTTAATTGATTAAAAACAACAACAACAAACAGACCAACTCCAGAATATGTGAAGTGTGATCCTTTAGAGCAGGGGTCCTCAAACTATGGCCCGTGGGCCACATGTGGCCTGCCGAGGACATTTATCCGGCTCGCTGGGTGTTTTTCTCCCTTTTGCTTTTTTACTTCAAAATAAGATATGTGCAGCGTGCATAGGAATTTGTTCATAGTTTTTTTTATAAAACTATAGTCCAGCCCTCCCACGGGTCTGAGGGGCAGTGAACTGGCCCTGGTTTAAATTGAGGGCCCCTGCACGTTTAGAGAGTTCAGTGGCCCTCATTTAAAGACCTGGATGATAATTCTGCTGTCTTAATATTCTGTTGCTGGTGTGGCAGAAAGACCACCCGTGGGTGGCTTTAAAGAACAGAAACATTTTCTTACTATCTTTGAGGCTAAAAGTCCAAAATGAGGGTCTTGGCTGGGTTGATCCCTTCCTTGCTAGCAGGCTGGATTCTTCCCTGATTCCTTGGTTTGTAGACGACCCTCACACAACTTCTGTCCCCCACCCTGCACCCTCACCCTATGTGCTTGCTTCTGGGGCTAATCTGCCCTTTTTATAACTTTATGACATACAGGACACACCATATGGCCTACTTCACATCATGAAAAGTGTCTTGTTTCCAAAGGGACTTACTGCATTCCCAGATACAGGGTTTATCATTCCAACACGTATTCGGAGGGGAGGACACAATTCCACATGTTCCTTCTCTGGAGATTTTCAGCGTCCAAGATCAAGCCTGGTAGTCTTTGAAAAATCTTTCAGACCTTTCTTGTCCTCCGATTCCATGATCTCATGTAATTCCAAGGGGTGGCACCCCTGGGTCCTCAGTGTACTTTCCTCCCTGGAAGCCCAATTCTAAGATGTGCCAGGATTTTGCCTGTCTCTTCCCCGAGGAGGCAGTCTCACTCCTGCTCTGTGTGACTGGCCCTCAGCTGTACCAACCAGATGCTCAGTGGGCTGAAAGGGCACCATGCGGGATGCTAAGTAAGCTTCCTCCGTCTTTCTTGTTCCCAGGTTCCTATGCGGGGGCAGTGGTAGCCATGCCCCTGGCGGGGGTGCTGGTGCAGTACATCGGATGGTCCTCTGTCTTTTACATTTATGGTGAGTGGTTTGACTTCATGGATTCACATGGGCGACTCATGGTCTTTCACTGTGTCATGGGTTTGGCTAAGATGTTACTGTATGGAAATAGAAAAAAGATGATCAGACACATGGAATGTGTGTCTATCTGGGATTCATGTAACATTGATAGGAAAGCTGACATTTTTTTGTCGTGAGCACAGCATGACTTTGCTTTCCGTGAAGGTCAACCTCAACGCTAACGATAGCAACAAGAAAACTCAACAAAGTAGTGTCTCCTAGCTGAATGTCATGCCAGTTGGGAATATTTTCAAACTTTAGGGATGGGATAAAGGAAGACCATGCCATTCAGCCTCTCGGTTTGTTGCTTGTGTGTTTGACCGCAGGTATGTTTGGGATTCTTTGGTACGTGTTTTGGCTGCTGCAGGCCTATGAGTGTCCCGCAGCGCATCCAACAATATCTCCCGAGGAGAGGACCTACATCGAGACGAGTATAGGAGAAGGCGCCAGTGGCGTCAGCCCGAGCGTAAGTATCAATGGACAGTGGAAGGCTGGCTACCTTCCTGGGAGCTTTCGTCAACATGACTGCGTTGTCCTCTTAAAAAAGAAGTGATGTCCATGTCGCCACCCCAAATCTCTTGGTATCCTTTCTTTGCTCCCTAGAAATTTAATACACCGTGGAAAAGGTTTTTCACGTCCCTGCCGGTGTATGCCATCATTGTGGCGAACTTCTGCCGAAGCTGGACCTTTTATTTGCTGTTAATAAGCCAGCCTGCTTATTTTGAAGAGGTCTTCGGATTTGCAATAAGTAAGGTAAACACATCGGTGCAGCCAATATCCGTGAACTGTAAATCTCTTCATCCTGCTGAGCGGATCCTTGCATGATCACACACTCAGTTTGATGAGCACAATGCATAGCTGCGTGGTGTCATCTAAGCCTCTCGAGGATAGTCAAGGTATACATCCCGTGCATGGGATACATGGCTATTTTATTTTATCATAGTGGGTGGCAGGGGTGGGGGTGGGGGTGGGGAGCAGGAATCAGAGCTGCATTAAGCGGCTTTTAAAGGTTTATGTTTTATCCAACCAAGTTGTCTTGAAGCTAACTCAAGGACAGCATAGTAGGCATGTATAAAAAAATTTGAGAATGTGGATATTTTTTCTCCCCTTTCTTTTCCCTTTTCTTCCCCTAAATGACTTAGTGGCTGAGCACCTTACTGCTCCTCTTGCCAACAACTCCTTTCTGGGTCATGATGGTGATAGCCACCATTCCTTGACGTGGTTTAGAGAGCTCTCGCAGTGTTCCCAAATCTCAACCACAGCTAGCACTGGCACAGGGTCAGTGGTTCAGGGGTGGGAAGGCCATGATGCTGAAACATAAATCATCACTATCAAATGGTTGTCACTTTCCTACATGTGACCAGATGGCAGCCTAGCCGAGGTAGGTAGGTGTCTGTATAGCTACAGACCCTGTCAGAAGCAGCCATGGAAGGACCAGCGTAGTAAGACAATAGTGGCTACCATCAGTGGCTGTACCGAGTGCTTTAGCCCCTAACTCTGTGCCCAGCCTTGTGCTCGTGCTGGGGCACCTCGGCCATTGTTCAGAGATGAATAAAAGTCACCTCTTCCCTTAAGGAGCTTCCAGGCTGGTAGAGCAGAGACTTGGGGTTTCCTGGTTGAGCTCTTTATGGAAACCGCTCGCGGGTTTGAATCTCCAGCATTTCTTTTCGTAGTTGAGCATGGATTGTTGAATTGATTCACTCACTTCTTACAAATTTGCTATGGAATCCAAAGCTACACCTTGGGTCTGGCACAATGAGATGGATAAATGTGGCAGTGTGTGTGTGTGTGTGTGTGTGTGCATGGGGAGGTACTGTGGATGTTGGAGAAGAAGAAGGCACATCGCTTAGAACTGGCAAATCTACAGGTCGTGTGTCTTCCCGCCCCAGGTGGGTCTCCTGTCGGCCGTCCCACACATGGTGATGACCATCATCGTGCCCATCGGAGGACAACTGGCTGACTACTTAAGAAGCAGGAAACTTTTGACCACAACTGCTGTCAGGAAAATCATGAACTGTGGAGGTAGTGCACGTTTTCAGAGGTGGAGTCAGTATTTGTGGAGCAAGAGTCCGTTGGGATCGGAAGGCAGCATCATTGGAATAGACTTACAGGCCCCTAGGTCCACCACACACCTGCCAAATGTCAGCCAGCCTGCCCGTTGCCGCCTGCACCATGGCAGTGTAGTCACCGGTGGACAAATCAGTGCCTGTCCACACTCCAGAGCTGCTTCGTCAGCAACTCTGAGACTGGCTGGAGCAGCCGATGGCAGTTCTCCTCTGTCCCCTGGAGTCTCTGTAAGCAGAAAACAACTCTGCAGGCCAGGCCACAGGTGACATGCACGGGGCATACAGGAGTGCACCATCTACAGGCAAGAGGTCACCAATGGGATAAGAAATTGGAAAGGAGGGGATGAGCTTGCTCTGACTCTAGATTACATGGGTCACCATGGCCATTTAGAAGCAAAGGATACATAAAAACCCCAAACCCCACCAGCCCAGCATTTACCCGCCAGCCCCCTTAGAGCTCCTTAAAGAATAGATCTCCCTGCATTAAGTCGATTCCAATTCATAGAAAACCTTTAGCTACCCTAGAGGAGAGGGCAGAACGGCCCCCAATGAATTTCTGAGACTCTTTACTGGAGTAGAAAGCCTCGCCTTTCTCCTGAGGAACGGCTGGTGGTTTTGAACTGTTGATCTTGTAGTTAGCAGCCCAGATAAAAGTTGCCATGGCCTGTTCCCATGGAGTCTCAGGAATAAAGTCTGATGAGGGAGAATTGGGAGCAGTCTGTCACCATCTGGTTTCCCAGGAGTTTGCCATCGAGTTTCACACATCTACTGTCTGATCGACTGAGTCTCATAGCTGCAGTAATGTGTCCAACCAAGGCCCTACAATGAGCAATTTTGACTCTTCTGACGTTAAAGTCTGTGCTCCGCCAAGTCCGAGTCGAGGATTCCTGTAGAGAGGGAGACGCCTGAGGATGGTGGCAGCTCAGCGGTGCTTGGCTCTGTTGGTTTCGGAGTAGAGACTAGAGGAGCAAAGCTTTGATTTGAACACATAACGGTAGGGCATTCTGCAGAGCTGTCTGAACTGCAGAGACAGCCTCCTCGGTGGAGCACCATGAGCTTTCTTCCACCGTCCATGGCACAGCATATACCCGGACAACGATTCAATGCTTCTTTCACTTTTCTGTTCACTTGGCTGAGTTTGGTTTTTGTATTTACTGGATTCACTTTCTCCAAATCAGAAGAGCAGGGTGGGCTGTTGTCTGGCTGTGTTTTCTGGGCAAAGGTCTCACGAAGGTTGTAGCAAAGCCTGAGCGCTTGGTGCACTCCCGAGAAGGGAGAGTTTTACCTGACGCTTCACAAGCAGCGATGTGCTGTTTTGTGTTTTAGGCAATCGTTCAGTCCAGCGCGCTGGCTGTTTTGGACAGTAGGCTTGGTGTACTGTTATTTGATTTTTCTCGGAGAGGCCATCATTTAGGTCAGGAGTGGGGACTGTCCAGCCTGGGGTTAGTATAAGGCCCAACAACTCATCAAGACCTGCTAACATCACATGCCTCACCAAAGAGAAGCAGTGCTCGCCATCCCAAGAGGGGCACGTTAATGAAATGACTCAATTGATAAAAAACCAAACTCACTGCCATCGAAACAATACTGACTACAAGGACCCTGTAGGATGGGGAAGAACCACTCCTGCGAGCTCCTGAGACTGTGACTCCTTACAGGAGTAGAACGCTCTGCCTTTCTCCATGGAGAAGCTGGTCCTTTCAGACGTGTCCTTGTGATTAGGAGCCCAATGTGTAACCACTCTACCACCAGGGCTCCTGTGACTAAATATAGCAGGCTAATTTTTAAGTTGATAACTTTGTAGGGCCCGCGAATGATGTCATAAATAGCCCAAAGGCCTGTGGGAGAAAAAAGTCTCCCACCCGTGACTTAGGGAGTCAAGGGGGAGCCATCCCCAGTGGATCCAATCCGATGGCCATCAAGTCAACTCTGACTCATGGGGACCCATGTGTGTCCCAGCAGAGGTGGGCTTCATGAGATTTCCAATGACTGAGTTTGGGAAGTGAATCTTCAAGCCTTTTTCCCTTGGTCCCTCTGAATAGACTCACTTCCAAACTCTTGGTTAGCAGCCGAGCGCATTCCTTGTTCGCAGCACCTAGGGACTCTCAACAGTATATCCAAGACTAAACTCACTGAGTCAACACTGACTCATAAGGGCCCTGGAAGACAGGGCAGAACTGGCCCTGTGGGTTTCCAAGATGGTCACTCTTTAGGGGAGTAGAAAGCCTCCTTTTTCTACCAGGGAGCTGGCTAGTGGGTTGGAACCGTCGACCTGGTGTTTAGCAGCCCCACTTGTACCCTTGATACCACCAGGGCTCCTTCCACCAGGAGCTTTTTGATATTTAAAAATGGCAGAGCAACTATCCATAGAGCAATTGCAAGTCAACATCCCTCATCCCAGAAGCATCTCTGGATCCTCTTGGAACATGTGGTGGTCAGGGTGATCCAAGATAAGAGAGAAGTTTCGCAGAGCACCCAGGTAGAGTAAGCACAGTCAGATAGCAGGAACCAAATGACTTCTAGCCACCCTGCAGTCAAGAAACACCTGTGTCAGGCCTTAAGCACTATGTTACAGACAGTTTAGGTCCACGGACATAAAAATCAACAAGTGACTCCACGGTCAATCCATTGAGCTGGAAATGACTCCCACCCCTGCTGTTTCTGTTCACAGGTTTTGGCATGGAGGCAACCTTACTGCTGGTGGTTGGCTTCTCACACACCAAAGGGGTGGCTATCTCCTTTCTTGTCCTTGCTGTAGGATTTAGTGGCTTTGCTATTTCAGGTAAGACACCCTTTGTATGTCCTGCATGTTGGGTACAGATTCAGCTCATCAGAGAGAGAGGAAGGACAGGGGTGGGCTCTACAACCCCGGCTTCCAGTTGCTAGTCCAGTCGTCCCCAGGGAGCCATGCCACTGACTGGAGAGTCCCCTTTCCTGAGGATGACTGAGAAATGACGGGAAAAGGCGCTGAGGAGCCTTGTCACAATGAAACCCTCTCTACTGCCTTCATCACCAGAAATGACACCAATTGTAGCTGACTCCTTCGAGGTCACATGTGGAGAGAGGCCTGAGCCTGTCTCTGTGACACGGCTCTTTAATACCTTGGCACCATTCACCCTCCCTCCCAGAGGTTCTTGTGACCTGTTCAGCACTCACCTCCTTCTATCCCCCAAACCCCAAACTGATTGCTGCAGGCTTATTTCAGGCTCACAGGGACCTCATGTGGGTCTCAGCAGAACTGGGCTCCATTGGGTTTTCAATGGCTGACTTTTCAGAAGGGATTTCCAGGCCTTGCCTTTTTTAAAAGGTGACTTTGAGTGGCCTCACGCTGCCAACTTCGGGGTTTAGGAGCCAAGGATGTAGCTTTTGTGTGCTACCCAGGGCTACTGCTAGTGTCCTGCTAATTTCCCCTCCACAGTCCAATGACAGATCCTTTACCGCAGAGTTAGACAACCACCCCCCACCCTTTTCAAAAAGAAATCCTCTTGACATTTTGCTCACGCCATTACCTTCATTTTCCAAAAACAGGACATTGCAGGTCCAGAGATGGGGACATGACTTGTCAGGCAGGGCAGAATAGCCAGTGCTAATGGTAAGGACAACCAGAGAGTTAATGCTTATCAAACCCTACTCTTGATTGCTTGCAGCCCTCCAGGTGTGGTGGATGTTAGGGCCATCGAGTCAGGTCCACCGCCTAGTGGCCCTGTGCACAGCAGAATGAAACCCGCCCGGTCCTGCAGCACCCTCCTCAGGGACACTATGTCGAGGCCCATGGCTGCAGCCACTGTGTGAACCACCTGTAATAGCCTCACAACGACGAGTGTCCACTGCACGGGTGCCTAAACCAGTGTGCTGGGGGTGAGAGAGGTCAGCGGGCAGCCATGAGCTCTTAGGGTGTCCGAAGCTCCCTGTGGGAAAGGTGGGGTGACGAAGTAAAACTCAGTTGTTTTTCTCACTTTCAAACACACTGCCGTACTACTAATGGCCCCTGAAGGACCGCTGACATAGGTGGCAGCTGCCTCACCATATTGTAAAGCAAGCAGCAATGTCAATGTCTTACTGCTGAGGAAATGCACGCTCAGGAGAACTGGGTACATTTCCAGCTCCACATGTAAACCTTTTGCTGTCAAGTCCATGCCCACTCATTTGGCACATGCGCTGCAGAGTGGACCCGCACCAGAGGGGTTTCTGGCCTATCATCTTAGTCAAGAAATTCCATGTGGATTTGAACTACCAACCTTTAGGCTAGTCACCAAGTGCCGACTTGTTGGCACTCCCTTTCCTGAGTCACAGCTAGTGACAAAAGGAAGAAAGCACAGCATTTAAGCCCATGCTCTTCCCATGATTCCAGGCTGCCTGCGTGTTTGACCAGAATGGGGCCTCTGGTCCGAGCCATCCTGTTATAGGTCATGAGCTATTTATCAAAAGAATTGAGTCGACGCTTCCACTTTAAAAATAGTCTACTTTCAAAGTAACATGCAGCCGAGAACTGGATTTGGCGCTCTACAGACCAGCCTCCGTTCCCATCCCAGAGATGAGAGAGGGGTAACTGCAGCCTCTGGGGTTGTTGGAAGAACGAACTCAGACAAGGCACGCATTCCCTCACAAGCTAGGCGCCCCGGCACAAAGCCACACAGTGCTCTTGGCTCTGGGCACCCTGCAGCGAGCATCTTCAATGTCCTCCCTCGCAGAGTTGACCTTCGAGGGGAGCTGAAGCAGTTGAAGCTCAATGCCAGGAGCAGAACACATTCAACACACATTTGCTCTTGCTGTTACACTGTTATTGACGCTGGCCCCGTGCTTCTTAGCCTTTAGCACCTTTCAGATAAGTCACCCCGTGGTTAGCTGCCACCCACTCGGTTCTGACTCACACTGACCCCATGTGTGCAGAGTAGAGCTGGCTCCATAGAGTTTTCAAGGCAGTGACTTTTGGAAGCAGGTTGCCAGCCCTATCTTTCGAGGCACCTCTGGGTGGATTTCAACTGCCAAGCCTGCTCTAAGCTAGTAGTTGAGCCCTTAACCGTGGGTTCACATCACCCAGGAATGACAAACCACACCAGGACCTGTGAACTGCAGCCTGAGGTTCTGTCTGAGTCCGCAGTGATCGGGATGATGCTGACCCACAGTCCCCAGTCTGAGGAGCAGAGACAACAACCATGGCTTGTTCCCAGAAGGATGTTAAGGAACAACACCTCCTCTTGATCACTCCATGGTGCTCCAAAGGATTCATATCCTGTTCACGGAGACACTGAGATGCTCAAACTCAGATGACTCCCTTCCTCACAGCTTGCTGATGAAGTGGCTGAACAATCGGAAGGAGAGACTCCCCATTAGCTCAAATCACAGCGCCTGCCACGTATGCAGCAGCCTCTGGGCTGGCCACTTTCGAACACGATCTCCTTTCATCCTGTGGCAGCCCCGTTGTGAGCTACTGAGTCTGATGCATGGTGACCCGCTAGGGCAGAGTAGAACTGTCCCATGGAGTTTTCTTGGCTGTTCTCTTGGCCAGGGAGCTCTTGGGGTGTCATGGTCCAGGAAAGGTTCGAACCACCAGCTGCTGTGCAGGAGAGAGATGGGCCTGCTTGCTTCCATGCTTGGAAACCGCACACTCTCTTCTATAGGGGCACTACTCTGTTCTACTTATCCTTCCCTTACCCTCGGCCCCATCAGGTCACGGTGAATCAGAATTGACTAGAGGGCAGTGGGTTTGGTTTTGACTTTCAGTCTTTTGAGGGGCAGCTTGCCAGGCCTTTGCTCCAGCGGACTGTGGCTGTGTGTTAGCAGTCAAGTCCTTAAGCGTGAGGCCTCCAGGGTTCCTTACCATGACCCCTGGAGATGGGTGTGGCTATGTCTCCGTTTTGCCAATGAGGACACTCAGAAGGTGACTGACTTTTGCTCAAGATCACATAGTAAGTGGCTGGGATGGGAACAGAGGTCTCTCTGGCTCGGTGGTGACACTAGAGTAGGGATCCAGGGTCCCTCAGGACTTGCCATTTGACGCCATAGTAGGAGGGAATAGGGTGTTGGAGAAGGACTGTGGGGCACACTTTTGAAGCTGACTGTGGATAAGAAAGCCAAGACAGCCACGATTGGAATGATGCAGAAAGGATGGGCATTCAGCTTTGAGAAGTGTCCTGTGGAGTGAAGGTAGACCCGAGGCATAGGGTGGGGGGTGGAGGGGTACCTTTCTCTTGCATCTGCTACCCAAATCTATCACTCTCGATCTCTCAATGATTCCTCCCCCTGAACCCCAGGCGTGTGCAGCTGGAAACTCAAGTGGCTTTTCTCACATGATTTCTAGCTCAATCCACAGGCCTAGGCTTTGTATCCAAGCCTCATATTCGACAATCACATTAATTGCGTCTTATCTCTGGGTTCTTTTCTAATAAAGCGTTTATCGCATTCAAAGCAGCAGTAAGATTCATGAATCTTGCGGCTGTTTTATATCCTGATTG